ACCTCTTAGTTTTTACTGTTTTTGACTACGGAAAAATACTGAATCACTTTGTCCATTGCAAAGAACTCAGAAAGACCTCAACAGGTCGGAATGCTTTTAACACTATGGACTCCGCTTCGAAATCTCTGGGTTTATTTTGTAAATCATATTGCACACCTAACAGTGCTAATATTGTGTGGTACCATGAAGCAGCCTTGAAAGGATTTTAAGGTTGAGAATCACTACTCAGACTAATAGCATACTGCCAGTATTTCTCCCTAGAAAAAAGGAAGAACAAGAGATGAACTTTGACTGCCTCTCCCAGAACGCTGCAGCCACCCCTTACAAAAAACTGAGTTTTCAAGCAGTTGTAGACATTTTACATGCATTATAAAATAATATCATATGCTAAAGTATATGCATTATGTATCTTCCACTGTCCGTAAGTAAAATCCTCATTGGCATCAATGGGAGTTTTCCAGAGAAAAGACTGTAAGATTTGATCCATAAATAGTATCTCAAAATAACACGTTTCACTATGGGAACAATTGCTCATGGTAACTCAGTTCCTTTCAAGATATTGGCAGAAATTGCACAGCATCCTTTAGTGAGTGTGAAACTCATGTACATCATTCTTGCATCTAGCGAATAAGAGCTCAATACCGTGTTCAGTTACAGTCGTGCAACTCCCACCAGCTGTAGTGGAGAGCAGTATGGAGCCTTCACTAGCAATTCAGTCTGAGAAAGAATAGGTTCTTGGACAACATGCTAAATTTGAGAATACCACACTCAGTGCCAGGATACTATTATATATTATACAAACTATTCCTCAAACCTGGGGAGAAAAGAAACTTACACCAATTCTCTCCATTGTCTCTCTAACCACATCCTTCAGATTTTTTGGGACATGTATCTGCATATTTTATAGAGACTAGCTGGAGCCCAATGTTTTGTAGTCAAAAAGTGAGACAATTGATAAAATGAAAAGACAGGAATCATAAATTCTCAATCCTTATGGTAAAAATAGCTACTGTCAGCTGTTGGTGTGATCCTTGTGCAGTAACCCTATCATTTTTTTCAACGTGTTCCCATTTTAGAAAGTGGGAAATATTTTTTGATGTATGATCCTCGCTCATTGGTGAACATAACTAGACTGATTGTGTATCCTGTTGGATCTTTGCCATGGCCATGCCATCTTTTTTCCCTTCTACATGGCACAAGTTGTTTCACTAGGAACCCTTTGGGAATGGGACCTAGTTTGTTTTGATAGTTAAAATTTCTCCCCCCATCCCATGAATATAGTCACCGCTGCCTGCAAAAAAAATCCCAAGGCACTTCACCACTTCCCAACTTCTACTGAGATTACTCACCTAATTTAGGTGACCAGAGTGCTTATTCTCTTCTCTAGAAGACTAAAGCATATATGGGATGACCTAGGAGATATTTCTAACCACCACCACCATTTCTACCTCCTAATACAGTCATAAATTCCAAGGTACTACATCACCTTGAGACACTGTTTCCATTTGCAAGGTGAAATACAAATACAGGTGTGGTGTGTTCTTTCCTCTATCAGTTGGGGAAGCTCAGCATGGCTCATGTCCCATTTTAAAATGGTTAATGCCTGAGTGATCCTCCCAGTATTATCTAATGTAAGTGTTTCTTTCTCGGTCCTTATAGGCCACTACCATCAGAGAATCTAAAAGTCTATTCTGCATAAAACCTCAGTAAATACACACATCTGGTACAGAATAAGGTTTATTAAATAAATCAGTTATGATTTATTTGGACAATCCAGCCATGACCTGGCTAACTGGCCATTTTATAGGGAATACATTCCAATAAGCATCAGCTTAGGGAACACATACATTTATCACTCAAAAACCAACATATGTCCCCATGGCAACAACTAATTCAACTGTCTGCTCTATCCACTTTTAATGATACTTTTTGTTCCTATTAGAAGTAACCATGAAGTATAGTTCTGTTCTAGAAAGGAAGCCTTAGAAATAACCACCAGAAAGGTAACAGACATACAAATTACTGACTCCCTGTACTAAGAACAAGTTAATATTTAATCCCTTGAAAAAAGATTTATTGTAGGTCAACGCGATGCCAAGAGCCACAGGGATTCACACAATCCAGTAACATATGTCAAAACCACTGCAGCTAAAAATCTCATAGTTGGCTTTGTTGAGTAAACTGGCAAACTACTGTAAATCGTGAAACTGGGGCTATGGAATTAATTAGGGCCGACACTAGTCGTAGCCTCTTGGAACTTCTTAATACTCTTGTGAAGCCCCTCATAGGCAGAGTCTGCTTTGTGCTGTTCCATCTAACACAAAGTAACTTCAAACCCATCCGGCCCAGACACCAGAAGATGCATAGTGCTCCTAGAGGACTGCTACCCCTTTTTCTAACAATTTGTTGCTACAAGGGATGCTTTGTTAAAATAAGGTAGTGTGTGAATGTAAAGCACAATCGCCATTCTTTGCAAGGTCCCTGTGGAATGCACACTTACTACGCACTATTTTATGTTAGTGCTTAATTAACTTCCAAAGCAAACTAAGAGACTAACTAACACAATAATTTTGGGCAGCTCCTGGAGCTCTTAACACCTGGACTGTCAGCACGTTAACACCTAAAACTAGTTTTAAGCACTTTTTAGGCGGCTCAAAGTTACGCCACTCCAGGACAGGATTATCTTTGATCCGTGTTACCCAGCTCACATAACACTATGTTGTAGCCATGTAAATACCCGAACCCTCCACCCCCTGTCCTGCACTTGCCCAAATCGGGTCCATTGGCCCCCCTGCCCTCCCCAGCACCCCAGATCCTGGCTCACTGCCCCTCC